AGACCGGCCCGTCTGGCACCAACAACCATGCCACGCTCAAAAATGCTTAAATCACCTTTCTTTCCCATTCTGACATTCAGTTTGGAGTTCAGGAGATTGTATTGATCAGGACCACACCCCTAAATGCATTGAAGCAACTGCCATGTGATTGGTTGATTAGATAATTGCATTAATAAGAAATTGAACAGGTGTTCCTAATAATCCTTTAGGTGAGTGTATATTACCCCAGCTGTACCTACTGTCTTCTGTCTGTAAGGAAGTCTGTGATCTAATGATAAGTGGAATACAGCACTAACAGTAGGTAGACTTTAATCTTCAGCACAAACTGTCCCAGAGGTGTTAAGATGCTCTAGTACAGAGTACAGGGCCAGGGCCAACATCATTTACAGACCTGTTCGCCCTCTATGCAAACTACAAGAGATCAAGCATAGGGTTCATTACAGCTTTCATCTGAGTCAAGACAAGGCACATGAAGATTTCCATAACTGCAGAAATCAAGCCAATAGACTTGTAGTTGTTTAGGTCACTGATCGTAGCCTTTTTTTGGGGATAGGGATGACAATGGAGATCTTGAAACGTGAAACAAGGCGGAGAAGTGGAGTTGTCTTCTTGAGTTGCAGATGAGTTGGCGTGAGCTTGAGGGGGAGAATGGTTGGGAGAAAAAAAAGCTGGGAATTGCCCTTTGTTGCTTAAAATGGTTAAGAACTCATTCAGTTTGTTGGAGAGCTGGTCATTGTCTAGGGGAAGGGTGGGTTTTCTCAAAATCAGTTATATATGACCGAGAAAATAATAATGTAAAAGTGCAACTTCATCTCTCTCTTAATAATTGCGTAGCCTAATGCACTTTTCATTGTCGATGCCTGTAGAGTGTTTATTTTGAGCTACTTAACTTTCCGCGATTATGTTCTATTTCGACTTTCATAAACGTACATTAAACTTTTCTAAACAATAACATGTAACAAAACAAAAAAAAAACGAAATGCAACGAATGCGTTTGCAGCGGGGTCCGCTGATGCTTCCAGGACACGTGGACGTGGATTGAGACGTGATTGGGCAGATAAAAGTCACAAGACTGCTGGAGAATTTCGTACGATTGAGGCCCTCGACAGTCTGAGTCTGCGCTTCGGGGAAAATGGTGAGTGGCGTGAGGAAGCGGTAGCGAACGGCTCGAAAATCTTATATTTTAGTATGCTTATGAAGTCGTAAGACTTCTGATTTATACAAATTGTGCATCTGTACCGTTGACTGTTACGTAATATGTTGTTCATTGTGGTATTTCTTTCTGTGCCTATATATAAACTGCAGCCACACCAGTCTATTGTCATATTCTGCAACATCCCCACACATAATATGGTGCATAGTTAGCTCGCCTCCCACCAGCACGATTTAAGCGAAGTTTGTAAAACGACTGAATGATATCCAGCTTCGCTATTCGGTGACAGCAATGTGTATGTTACCAAAACTAGCTACATAGTTAAGAATTCACTCATGTATGTTAATAACGAGACTATCAGCTAGAGAGTTTATAAGCAAAATAAATTGCTTGGACACACTGATAGCTAGCTAGCCGCTATGTCGATTTTTGTGATTGTTCACATTTCCTGCAATTTAGTTACCGTAAGGTTTCTTACAAACTGGGAAATAATTCAGGCATGGAAACTGATTCGTCCTTGGTTGACTCCTTTCTTATAACGTTTCTGGCCATCTGTTGGAAGCTTGTCAGCCTTTGTAACCATCACGCATAAATCCCAGGCCTATGGAAACCTGTAACTTCTGCGGTTCAATTTTTATTCGTATTTATTTTTTTCCCCGATAATTGCAGACGTTTGCATCTATTAAGCATGACGCCGTGACGTGGTTTTGTAGCATATCTAATAAGAACCGCTTGCTTGAAAGCGACGTTTCGTCTTGCGACTGTAATTTTAATTTTCACCCCTTTTCCGCTTCTATCTCCTATATGTCATTGTGTAAGTTCATCAGCCTGAATGGCTTAAATAAACGATTAAACATATGAGTACGGTAATGCTGCACTCTATTATAGTGTCTATGTATAGCTGTTTTGTTAAATGCATATTTTATGTTTTTTTTTTTTTTTTAAATGTCCTTCACAAAAATATCACTAGTACAGACTGCTCTGTCATAACTAGGTGGTGCTTTGCATTGCCCTAAAAGCTTTTTGTTTTCTCTTTTCTTAGAGTGAATCTTTGGTAGTGTGTGATGTTGATGGGGATTTGGTTAAAAAGTTACGGGAGTTCAGATTCCGAAAGCAAACCAACAATGCTGCAATAATCAGTAAGTAATTCCTGGCACCGAATCAGAAAAGAATGCCTTTTATCATATTAATGCTTATATCTATTATCTTAAACCTTATTTCCTCTGCAATGCAATACAGTTATAGGTGCGCTGAAGTAACAATAGTTATGTGATTAAATGTGTTCCAAATGGCCTGGACCTGCAGCCTCTCCCACATAGTGCAGGCCACAAAAGCTGAGGTACATCCTGGATGGGATGCTGGTTATTATGTTAATCACAAACTAAATGGAATAATTTTATCAGTAACTTATTCATTGTGCATAAAACTGTAATCACCGAACCGTCCTACTTGTGAATTTCATGTTCCTTTGTTATTTGTGAACTGGATTCTGAGACACCTAAACTTCTTCACTAAGGGCAGACTCTCACGTGAACAGATCGATCCACTCTTTTCCAAATTAGTACTATGACCTCATATTTTTAGTCACTGATCCTCATTCATCCTGCATCACACTCAACATCAGACTGGCGGCTGGATGAGGCCAGAAGCGTATCATCATCTGCAAATATCACGGCTGCTACCTTTGGCCCTCCGTTTAGAATGATCTTCCATCCACGGCTGAGCTTTGATAACCTGTTCACGAAAACCACAAACGGTAGTGGAGATGCATCTCATCCAGAGGCCAAAACCCTCTAAACGCTATTGACATTGTGCCAGTTATGTGTATGCTGCTCTCTCTACATGCATACAGGGACGAAATTGCATGCAGTAGCAGCATAAGTGTCCTGTAATTCTGCAGCACCCCCCACGGTATATGCTAGAATATATGGTCATGTTCCTTTTGCAGTCCACAAAGTACTTGTAGACTACCGTCATTTTCTCATGAGGCCTCGCATACCTCTGCAAGGCAAGAGAGTTGGTCCACTTTTTTGCCGTCAGGTGGAAATCCATATTGTTCCTCCTGAATTCTAGGTTCATCCATTTGTTGCTTAGCGTTATCCCAGCCTTGTGCCCTATGCTGTCTGGGTTAGGCTTCAGGCCTTTGTGCAACCAAGATATGTAAGTGCATGAAGAATTCAGCTATGATAAACTATGTATTTTAAAGAACAAAATGTAAAATAACAAAAGTGTAGCAGTCATGTTGGATAGGTTAATGATGATGCATTACTGCAGCTGGGTATTACAAATGTGTACATATATAATATGAAAACACACCGATGAGACACAACATAATGACTGTCCTTATGTGAAAGGAATGATGTTGACTGTCTAGTAATAAGTGTGTGTCAAGGTCTCTATCTTAGACTGTAATCTAATGTTCGGAATTTGTAGGCGACATGTTGAAGAAATGGGCAAGAAAAAAAGATCTCAGTGACTTTGACATGAGCCAAATGATTATGGTGAGACTGCTCAGTAACGGTATCTCCGAAACTGCCAGGCTTGTGGGGTTTCATGGTCAGCCATGGTCAATACCGACTGAGGATGATCTAAGGAGGGACAAATCACGATCCGCCAACAGGATGTTTGGCGGCCAGGACTTAACTATGTGGGAAGTGAAGAAAGGCAATCCCATATAGCACAAACCAACAGGACGGCTCCTGTCGCACAAAAGACGGATGTTATCCTGTGATCACAATTCGGTTACAATTCACAGGGCATCTAGCCTTGTTTCGTATGGGGCTACGTACCTGCAGGCCAGTCAGTGCCCATGCAGACCCCAGTCCACTGTCAGAAGCACCTGCAGTGTTCACACAAGCACTGCAAATTTAACTTGGAGCAGTGGAAGAAGGTCTGCTGGCCTGAATCCCGTTTTCTGTTGTATCATGGGATTTGTTGGACCAGCAGGTCCGATTCACAGCTACGTTACCCCATATGCAGTAGGGATCCATGCGCTTGTGTTGTGACACATTTCCACGATCATCATCACTATTTATATTGGTTAATAAAATAACATTGACTCTGTTACTAATTTGGTGCATTTTGTTTTATGGATTTACCTTATGACCAGTGCTTTTTCAGATTGAAGGTAAATGTAGTTTCCTCCTTGTGTTTTCTCTCAGTGAAAATCGACAAGGACCGGCAGCTCGTCATCCTTGATGAGGAACATGAGGTAAGTTATTAGTACGGATGTTATTGTGTGTTGGATAAAATTTAAGGGACTGTTAAAGAATTGCATACCTTTCAGGTCATCGTTTCTCTCTCTTCCGTCAGTGAAATTGGGTCACGGCCTGTTTATTAGTTACATGGTCGTTAATTTTAAGTCATGGTGTAGACTAATGTTTTTCAGTGTGATGACGGTGATCAGCTGTTTCAGGACATTCGTGGAGGACAAGTGCTCCTGTGCTTTTCTGTTTTAGCCTAATGTTAGGATTCACTTAATGTTTTGAACCTGGATATTTCTGTAATAATGCATAAACAATAGATCTCCTGTATTCTTTGCACTTTCTCAACCTAGTACTAAGCTTTCAATAAACTTCTTGAATATTGGAGATGATGGAACTATGTTCTAGGTTCAGTGTACTCCGTGTGCTTACAGTAAAGCCCACCTCTTGGTACTTCCCTAATCTTAATCGTTTTAGCTCAGTTAACTCGAGTAATATTTCACTATCTTTGCTTGAGAGTTAGTTAATGCTTTCATTTCATTAATGACATCTTGGGAACTTTCGTTTCAGACTGAATTAATTCAAATCAAACTCCTTTATTGATCCTGCATGATGAACAGATTGAGTGATACATTGCAATAGTTATGACAAGGCTCACGTTAACCTTACAAATACACATAATTTTAGTTTAAAAATCTGAAAGTACAGAAAGTCCTCCCAACCTCAGCAAATGTGCAGTGTTGTGCACTTTGTTACAAAGTAAAGCCAGTTAATGCTTGACAACAGATGTTGTCAATTAACTGATAGCCTGTGCTAAACCTGTTTTTATGCATGTCAATACAGTTGTGTACATTAGCTGTTTAGTTACCAAATACAGTTAGTTTCAAATAAGTATGCAGGCAACCTTGTTGGAAAATGTTGCCTCAAATATTATTTTCCGCAAACATACTAAAAGAGCTTTAACTTTAACCATGGGCTTTATAATTTTCTCTTGCTTTTACAACCATCTTAAACTGGTAACAAAGACATTTCCAAATACATTCAGCTGCTCTCATGACTGATTTAAATTTATTAAATTCTGGCTGTCAAACTGTAAAATGTCTTTGGGTTTATTAGTATTTTCAACATGTGGTTATTTTTCACTATTAAATAGAACTCTCATTGTCATAATGAGACTCAATTTCACAAACCCAATTAAGGAATAGCGATCATGAGAATTCAAAACCCACCCAAAGAGTTTTGACGGCAGTTTTTACCCACTATGGTAAGTTTTTTAACTGAAAAATTGTCAGGTTTTGTTATCAACCACACGATGAGCTGCTTTGGCATCATGGTTATTATATCTGGCTTTAAAAAGAAGTTACTGGCCATCAAGCTCCTCACATCTAATGAATTCTGCATCTTTAGCATAACACTAATGTCAAATAAGTCTATTATTAACAATTGATGAGAGCCTTAATAGGAAGCCCAGCGATGGGAGTCATGGGACCCGGTGATTGCTGGGCAAGGTCATATAATGGAAAAAATAGGCCTGTTTGTGCAACAGTCCAGTATCCCAATACACACAGTTCATGACTTGTAGCATTCCAAGAAGGATTGAAGCTGTACTAAAGGCAAAGAGTTATAATATTCCACAAGTCCTTGCCATTAGTATTGGTAGGATTTTTTTTTTCTACTGCAATATGTGGGTTTTTAATATACACTCAGTAAAAGAAGAATTTAGAAATTTTATTAATCATTCGAATCCCAGCCCACTGTGTGTGGAGTGTAATCCTGGTATTCTGGACGGACGTTTTGTACAGAGTGTAACCCCGTGCTTTCTGTCAGTCTTAATATGAGCTGCATGTTTTTGGTTTCTAATTCTTTGTGTTTTTTTTTTTTTTTTTTTTGTGAAATCTTAGATCTTTATGCATTGTATGACAAATGCAAGTAAGGCAGATGCATATTTCATATATCAATCATAAGAATATTACAGAGTATATATATATTTTTTTTTCCCAGGACATTTCTCCTGATGCCTTAAAGGATGAACTGCCTGAAAGACAGCCAAGATATCCTTTTATTCAGCTTCATTATTAAATCATTTTGAGTTGGAGGCTAATATGTATTGTATAAAATATTGCCATTTAAGATTTTCTATTAAAACATACTCATAAATAAATTTACAGTATCACTTGATAGTAAAAGTCTGCTTGTATGACACTGCAGTCTGATTCTCTTTAACCATACCCACATTTGTGGTATACAGTTATAAATACCAGCACGATGATGGCCGTGTTTCTTACCCGCTCTGTTTCATTTTTTCCAGTCCAGCCGGTAAGCAAGTTTTAAACTTGTACATCTAGGACGCACCATGGCGATTATTGTGACAACGAGATGTCTAAGGCTGTTTTAAAAAATAATATTTTCGTTTCAACAAAAATTTTAGATTGCAGCCCAAAGTTAGGAGATCTTAACCTCTGCAAAGTGTGTCTATCTTACTGTGTGTTTGCACCTTATGTTGTGATGTGCAGTTTTATTGCATGTTACTGTATGGGGCAATAGAGAAATGTTGTCTCGTCACATTTTGTACGTGTATAAAGCTGCTGATGACAAAGTAACATTGAACCTTGATTTTTTTTTTTAAATGTTTGATTTTGTTTGCCTGACTCGGGATGATTTGTTTTTTAGGGTGTAAACCTGAGCAGCAGATGATGTATGCTGGAAGTAAAAACAAGTTGGTCCAAACTGTAGAGCTGACCAAGGTTTGTAATTCTTATTTTTTGAAATAAACTTTGTAAGTAGTTTTTACAGTGTGTGTGTGTGTGTGTGTGTGTCGTCCTTTAATACAGTATATGATTTTTAATTAAATATAGTTGTTTCCTCCTAGGTATTTGAAATTCGAAACACAGAAGACTTGACAGAGGAATGGCTGCGGGAAAAACTAGGATTCTTTCGTTAGACGCCTCTCATCCGACTCAAGGAGGAAAAAAGTTTTGCAGAGGTTTTTTTCCTGCGTTCCTTGTAGTTTAACATACCTGTAAACCAAGCTGACACATTCCAAAATCATTTTAAGAAAACTGGTCCAGTAAGTCATTATATATAAATAAATGGATGTTCTTTAAATTCTAGTCTACAGTTATCATTTGTCTGTATAAAATGTGGCATTGATTTTCTTGGTTTCAATCTTGTGTGTTTACTCAAAGTTCTCATACAATTTAGCATAAATTGACTGTTTCCCTATTGTGGTTGTGTCATAGAAATGCTACTAAACACTAAAAGGTTTTTTTTTTTTTTTTTTTTTAAAGAAACCAAAAACAACTGAGTAAAATAATTATGCTAAGACAATTATGGGTGTTCCTGGATTATTTTTTTTTTTTTTGCCTTTGCACTCAATACACAATTTATTTCAAATATTTTAGAGAACTGGACAAAGACAAGTTATAAAAAAACAAAAAAAAAACAAACAAGAACTACATGTAGACCTTCCAGTTTCATTGTCTCTATCAATTAATCTGTTACTAGTAAAAGAATTGTGAACTGGAGTTACTATTTGTGTATTACTGTTTTGTAATTTATTTGTCAATCATAAAATGAGTCTCCAGGATTTAACAAATTTCTTTTTTTGTTCTTACTCACAATTTCAGTGTGAATTTTTGAAACTACTAAAGCACGTTTCAATAAGCCTTGTTTCCTGTCTTGCCTGGAATAGGCANCCCCCCCCCCCCCCCCCGACAAAAATAAGTGATTAGAAGATGGATGCATGGATGTTATTTTGATATGGCCTCATATTCAAAGTATAACTACTTTAATTTCTATAATATTTTTTTCATGAAATTTTATTTCTTAGATGTGCTAACCAGTTATTTTATTTAAAGAAACAAATGTGTATTATTACTAACTGTACTTTGAATTAATGCACTGAAGGGAAAGTTCAATTGAAAATAGAATTGCAAATTTAAATGATGTTCCATTTAGCTGTACAGGATCCAATATAATTCAAAAGAATTGAATTTTGACAAGTTATGTCTGAGAAATTAAGTCAACTTTTTCAACAATGTATTAATGGCATTCATATACTGTACCTCTGTATCTGTGATTGACGTTGGATGAACCACTAATAATTTTTAAATAGTGGCCCCAATAGGGGAGATTTTTAATTATTCCGTACTATTATTCAGTGCAAGGTTCTTAATGTTCTTTTTAAAAAAATAACAACCATAACTTGTCTTCTGTATCTTTTCATATTAACATAGCTTAGTATATGTGTACAAACACTATGATCTTGTGAACTCAAAGTGAAATTGTTGTGGGTCCCCACAGAAAATGGTTACTTATATAATGTTAAATACATGGCACAGCACTACTGATGGGATAGCACTTCTGTTTACTGATATACAGAATACAGAGTAGCACAAGATAGGTAAAGTTTTGACAGGATTATCTTTAAGACGTGAACATTTTTTTTCAATTGGTATATCTATTGTATTCATTCATGTAACATTGTAGTTTCTGTGACAAACACCAAAAAAGCCTTGGAATGATCGTGGGTTCAAGATACTTCATTATGAGGGTTATTAAATGATGTATAATAAACCTGGGGTCTGTATCATGAAGCTGGTTTTCTTGTGTAGCTGGAGAACTTGTCATATTTAAGGTAGTCTGGGCTAAATGTAAGTGAACAAAGAGTCTGTTTAAACTGGGGTACCTTAAATCTGGCAAATCATCTGGTTAAGAAAGAATCCCAGCTTTGTGATAGTCCCCTGGTTTAGTAATTAATAAATGATTAGCCTGATTGTGTATAATGCATTGTATGTATTCTATAGCATTTGTTTCTTTGAAAAAATGGAGCAGTTTAGACCAAATTCAGAACATCAGAAATATTTTGTGTAAGTGAACAAACTAGCTATAAAAAGCGTAGCTAACATTGAGCTTGTGTCGTTTTGTATTTGTGCATGACTAACCTGGTGTAATAAACATTTGGGAGTTTACAGATATGAAATGTTCTCCAACCACAGAGTATGACTGTTTCTATAGTGACATTATTTCATTTTTTTGTTGTGATGCATTTGTGAATAGTGTCCTAAAGTAGTATGAGCCATTACAGTAAAAGTAACGTAACATTGAAAAAGATTCAAAAGTACATAAAAATAAACTTGTTACAAAAAGTCATTGACATCATGAAGTCAATACAAATATTTAAATTTGCTTCTAACATTAAATTTCAGCTGTCATTGTTTCACTGGAAAAACTGACTATAAGACTTTATATCTGATACTTTTGTCTTTGTGCATCATTTTTAGTGCACACATACTGCTTACCTATCTATACAGTTATTCATGATGAGGTACATTTCATTTATTATGATGGTGTACAATAATGCATCGTTTTTTCATCTGTTGATGCAAGCAATAATTTACAAAAATGTATCAAATTCTTGTTTATAAAATTTATGTGCATCTAATGACTGTCGTTGCACAAACACAAATACTCTTTCTAGGCAATTTTGGAATCTCTACGGAAATTCTTAAAAACCATAAAATTCTAGATATTTTCCAATGCATCATTTTGACTAAAGATAAAATTCATTTTGAATTAAATGCTTTTAAGTAAAATGTCCATTCTACAAAAGAAATTAAATATTTGTGCGTTTTATGTAATTTGCAGTGATTTGCAAACTAAGCAGCTGTATTTTCAATAAGTACGCTATACGAGTATTAACTGTAAAGTCTTAAGATGTATTTTCAAGCATTGTAATCTGCTGATATACTTGATTGTGACAATGCATCGAATTCTACTTCTGCCAAGTGAAACATAAAGCTGTGAAATTACCATTTTCTGCTTCATGCTATAAAATGTGAGAAATGTAATAAACTCAAAAAACTGCAGCCTACACTATCTGACAATGGGTTTTTCAACAGTATTATCTGTAAATACTTCAGCATGACAAAGCATATTACAGTATAGCACAATACAACAAAACATGGAGTACCAAATCAGCTTCACAAAGATGAGCAAGAAATCATTTGACATGTTCCCAGCTCTTCTGTAGCAGTTTTAGAAGATGTAGAGCGTTTGTGGGTTACTTTACTTCTGTCCAATTCCTCCCATAAAAGTCCTATGGGATTTAAGTCTGGAGATTTGGCAATCCAGGTCATTAAATTGAATTGCTTACTTACCATCTTTCCCAGATAAGTTCTGCACAGTTTAAAATTATATTTTGACTTTTCGTGCTGTAATCCAAAGGACTCCCCAATCAACTAAGTCTGACAGTCTGGCATGCCATTCAAGTTTGTTGTGATAGCCATACTGGTTGGTAAAGATAATCTCTGTCACCAACAAAGCAACCCATAGCATAGCAACTTCAAGCTTGATATTGAGAACCATACATTTGAATGTGCTCAAATTTGTGACTGGTACTATAAGGCTGATACTGTAAGCTCACTGGCCACTTTATTAGGAACATCTGTACAGAATACCTTGTTCATGCAAATCTCTCATCAGCCAATCATATAGCAGTAGCTCAATGTATAAAGTCATGCAGACACAGGTTGAAAGCTTCAGTTAATGGTCATATCAAACATCAGAATGAGGAAGTGACTTGACCATGACATGGTTTTGCGTATTTCAGAACCTGCTGATTTGGTATTTTCACACAACGGTCTCAATATTTATAATGATATATACCATATAATGTTAAAATATGAAACATACAGTGGGTAATAGTTTTGTGGGCCATCATTAGAATAGCTAGCCTGGTTCAAGCTGATGCGAAGGCTACAGTATTGCAACTACTCTACAGCAGTAACAGCGGTGGGTATAAAAGCATCACTGAAGTGCAGCACATTGAACCTTGTGGTGGCTGGACTGCAACAGCAAAATACTATATTGGGTTACACCTCTCACTAAAGAACAGGAAACTCAGGCTAAAGTGGGCGCAGGAGTCATGAAACTGGACACTTGACAACTGTAAAAATGTTGCCTGGTCTAAAGAATCTAAGGAATTTTCCCAGCAGCATGGTGACTCCTTGCCATGAAGAAGACAGACTGGTCTGGGAGAAAAAAGTACAGGGTGTCCATAAAGTCTCTTTGAAAATGTTCTACAAAGGCTATTGATGAGATATCTTCATCAGATTTGTTCTATGTACTCATTGGCTACCAAAGTTATTAATCACATTGCAAACAAAGATACGGGACATCACTAATCTAAAGCAGAGGATCACTGATGCCATTGTCACCATCGATGAGGGTATGCTACAGCGAACATGGCGACATCACTAATCTAAAGCAGAGGATCACTGATGCCATTGTCACCATCGATGAGGGTATGCTACAGCGAACATGGCGACATCACTTATCTATAATTGTATAATTAGTAGCATTATTGTGATGTTCTGAACAATGTGGCTGGTCAGTGTATACATACAAAAATTCAGAAATATTTATAAAAATATATCTTTGAAATGCTTGCAGTAGTACTGTTTAGTTAAAAAAATCTCTAGTGTACTTTTTGTCGAATTTATTTTTATACTTATTTCAAGAGCAAGCCAATTTAATTCTTTTCATTCCTCTAAGTGTTTTAAAGATATTGACGGATAGTTGACATAATACAATTTTGGGGGTTTTATGATTGCTTCACGCAGACGTACATCATATTATATCTAGGCTATATTGTTTTGCGACTTTACAAGATGTTTTATTATTAGGGTGTCAAGTGGAGTTTTTCTTTGCATTTGCGCAGTACAAATCGGGCAGCGTTGTAAAATATAAGCAGTATACGCATGCGCTAAAGCGGCGCGCATGCGGGCCGCAAATCCGGAAGCGCAGGCGTTCAATTTCGGATTCACGCTGCTATCGGTTTTTGCACTTTCTACCTGTGCTCAAGAATAGAAAATACCATGACTAAGACTTAATAAGATTTCGCCCTTAAAGCACGTTAAATTCATGGAAATTTACTACGAGCTGAGTATGTAACAAATTATGACAATTCTGTGCTTAACTGCAATATATTTGAATGCTATTGAACATTAACGACTGCCCATACAGTTATTTTGGTTATCACTTAGGTATTATTTTGTTTTACAGTTTAACAGCTAAAGCCTCCTATCCGTCGTGCATCGTCATTGTGAACTTCTGTGTAATATATACCACGCAGGTTGAAAAATAACTGAGGAAGAATTGGTACAACTAAAGCGATGTGGAGAAAAATAGCCGGTTTACAAAAAAACAAAACGATTAAATATGGCATCCCGATGGTTGTGAGTATCTCGTTAGTTGGCTGTTTTTTAATCATGGTAAGTTTTGCTATTAAGAGTGCGTGTTATCCGTAAGGTCGGTGACGTCTTTCTCACTTTGCTTGACAGCTGCTCGTTGTAGGAGGCTCTTTTGGACTTCGGGAATTCACACAGATTAGATACGATGAGCAAAAAATAAAGAAGAAGGTACGTATCTAAGTTGTTAGTGGTATAAATGCACCGTGGGTTACGTTTTATAGTGGAGCCTTTTTGTAGGCTGCACGTTTAGAAACTTTATGTTAAGTCAACGTGAACTTCACTGTTATTTCAACCACATACAAGTATACAGAGAGATGAAATGGCAAGGCTGAGGGACCACAGTCTAAACATAAACAGCAAGACAATGTGCAAAGGACATACGGGATAGTGCAATTTAAGAAGTAGTAGTAGCCAGTGTATAGTGAAGTTAACCACCATAATAACTAATAATAATTAATAATAATAATAATAATGATAATCCCTTGTCGTAAATATCAGTTGCATACACCATGTGCCACATTTTTTTTATTTCTCCACCTAATATGGAATTACAGTAAACTGGTTACATTGTTTAGATGGATTTCTTTGCTTTGAATGCCCTGACTACTTGCTAAAGGAGTCTTCAGATTACTTCAGCCCCGATTAGATAATTTTTTACTGAAAATAATACTGAATTATATGCACTATATGACACAAGAATGTAAACATTGGACCCTTGAGCGCTGGGACCCTTATCCCAGTTTGGGTTCAGGAACACTTGCTGAACCTGCATTCCGGTACTTGTATGTCACTTTGAACAAAAGTGTCTGCAAAATAACGTAAATGTAATAATTACCCAAATCAGAGGTCACCAACCTTTATGAAACTGAGAGCTACTTCACGGGTACTGAGCTATACGAAGGGCTACCAGTTTGAAACGCCCTCCTAAACTTCATGTATAATAAACATCTTTTAAATGCTTTTTTTAAGATATTGTCGTTTTCAAATCTATATAAATGCAAATGTGATTAAAGAAGAATAACAACAGGATAAAATTAAATTCACTGGGTGCAGACATCTGGGTCACCGGGCGACTCATGTGGTCCTTGGGGGCATCCTGGTGGCCGCGGGCACCATGTCGGTGACCCCTGACCTAGATGGTCCGGCCTACCATAAAGAGTTGCCGGGAAAGTCATATTCTTAAATGTTGCACTCACTTGCCCTTTTTTTCAGCTGGACCCAGCACTGGAGGCCAGAGTGAATGTCCAGAACCAGTCTGTAATCTTGAATGAAGAATATGAGGTACACAGAGTTCCCCAGAAGCAAAATGTGATTCAGATGAGGTTTCTTAGAAGAAGTATAAACTTAAAAATAGTACTGTGAAATGTAGGAAGTGTATTTGTTTTTAAGCAGTTTTACATTGTCAACACAGCATTTTGTTATAGCTGTAGGTCAAGTTATATCTACCTACTGTTCTAAGAGTTTCCTGCTTTTGTGACAAGTCATCCTCTAAACTACATATCTGGAATTTTCTTGCCCCAACAGAAACTTAAAGGATTGAATATAGATGACTGGAAGAATATTCGAGGCCCACGGCCATGGGAAGATTCACGTGTGTATCAGGAACAGCAGAGAACCCAGTAAAGTAGGGAGCAGTAGAGGTTTCTCAGAGGGGCAGTTCATGCAGAAGGACTCCCAGTTCTCAGACGTCAGCAGTACATTAGTACCTGCAATGCACTGTAGTTTTCAATGGAGTTCCAATCACCTTAGGTGACTGGCTTATCATAAGCACTTGTAACGAAAGTGAAGGATAATTGGTGGTTGATCAAAGTATCCATGTATGTTTTGAAATAAAACAATGAATTATTGGAAACCAAGATATAGTGAAGTTCATCTAGAACACAAGCATTATTGGCCTTTAATGACCGGCTTGCTTGAACTGTCCATTTTTTTATACAACCACACCATTTTGTTCCATCTTCAGGAGTTGTCAGAGGTTCACGCTAGATACATGTGTGCACTTCTGCTTATCTCTCACAAACCAAAATATGCTGTTACGACTGTTTCGAGATAATCTATGGATTCTCAATGGGTGCGACATAAAATGAGTAGAGAAAGAAAAAAACAAGCAATCTGGTTCGCTTGAAGTTAGAAGTGTATTTTTTTTTTATTACAGCCAAAATAAAAGGAAGTTAAACAGGACAAAGCAATGCAAGTTCTGGGTGAGATAATGCCAGATAAAAAGAATAAACAAGAAGAAAACCAGTACGCTGACTGGGAATTGAACATCCCCCCCCGTACACTGCACCGCTAAAAACACAGCGTTAGTTTTTCTAAACAGAAAACCGAACAAAAGGAAGAGTAAGAGAAAAAAGGCACCTGAACCGCCTCCCTAGATTAGGAGGAAACGCAGAAGAGAAAGAGAAAACTCCTACAGACCCTTAGAATATGGTGTGTATCCGACACATCTTGGCTGACGTAACAAACCAGCAGGTTACTAACCTTCACACATCAACCTATCCATACACTTCACACGCACAAACCAAAACTGAGAAAATGTGATTAAGCGGCAGCAAGAATATACAAAATGCAAAAAGGGGAATTCCAAAATTTTCCCGCCGTTCCATCATCCCATGAGCCTGTTACAGTGCGTGTGTCTTGGGCAGCCAATCCACTTGCTGCAGGTAGGATGACAGGAACCTGCCAAGCGAAACAAACAATACGTCCTTGGATGTTTCATTATGAGATACTGTAGTTGTAAAGTCTTTGTATGACTTGATGACAGCAGTTTCAGGATGGGGTAATATATTAAAGTAGTTTAAAGCCATGAATTTTGTGTGAAATCTGTTTTATGGCTATGCAGTTGTCGAAATAATTTCTAAATAAAAAATATATGAATTTTAATTTGTTATAGATACTAATATCTCAAATTTTAGACATCAACCACACTTTTGATAGAATAATTCTCCTCAAAAGTTAAAAGCATAATTCGGCACGATATGCTTAAAATACATTTTGCAGAATAATATTTCGTTTTTTCGGTATAATGGGTGCAGTTAAAGTTTCAGCATGCATACAGAAAAATATACACAAACTGCTGCAATACAAAACACAGGATGATAGCTGCTCAAAGTGAAACACATTGTGTACCAGTACAAAAGGGCTGACAAGGATGATAAATATATGCAATATCCACAATAACACAATACAGTAAAACAACAATCAATACTGAGAAGTGTACAAGACTTGGAAAGTTGCTAGTTTAAGTGTCACAGCTAGCAAAGTGATTCCACCCTTGGACCACTGAGTAAGGCTCTTAACCTCAACTGCCCCTGGTCAAAAGCATATTCTAAATCAAACGTGTTACAGTCCCAACTGAAAAGATTATGGATGGATGATGGAGTTGTAATTAACTGGACTGGCTGCTGTGATGTTGGTGCTTTGATAAACAATACAGATAGGAGGTAACAATACAATGCAAAACAACATCAAACGGTATCAAGATTACTGTAATGTCTCCATTCTGGTCCCTCCTCTTACTTCATTACCCCTTTCCTGGGTATGGACCCCATCTGTTTAAATCTTATAATTAAAGGCCAGTATGTTTCAAGCCTAAATATAGAAGAAAAGGTATGAAAGCTACCAAGTTGCTTGAAGTGTATTTAACAATTCTAGGCTCTGGCGGGAACTCCCTGAGGCGCTGTAGGTGTAAGGATTTATTACGCATGATGTCACGGTTGATAATCATTTTAACTTTCATAGTAGAAGTATCACATCTAATCTAAATACATATTTACATAATGAAAGAATATCTCAACCAAATTTAACTCCTCTGACTGAGATTTGAATGTGTTCTGGTTTCCCATGGATGGAGAATATCCAGGTCTTGATTTGTACATGTGCATTTAAGTGTATGGTTTTGTTTTTAGGTGTCCCCAAAAGCCCAATCAGAGTTTTTAGATGAGAGTATTTTTCTATGCATTGTGAAATAATTGGTATTTTACTTTTTGTAGTTTGGTTTTATGGTGGTTGTAATACTGTCACTTCATACCCCCCGGGTGACATCCTGGCCTGCTCTTTGTGTGCACTATCCTTTCTCTGTTATACTTCATTGCTCCATCAATTCCAGTTTCTTCCTGCTGTGCAAACTGGCATCTCTGAATTCTGTACTGACAAGCCTGCTTACTTACCTGGCAGGGAAGATACCATGATCACGAAGGTGGTTCACCCAGGGTGAGGCCCAGCCATTGCACTGCGGCTGTGCTGACCCCTGCGAATTCCCCAAATGTGGGAATCTTGACTGCATAATTTCTGGTAGCGGGGGACTGTGTTCACGCTCTCCCCTGATTTTTTATACGGGCGGTGGTGTCTTGATGGTTAGGGTAGCGCACTTGTAATTGAAAGATTGCAGGCTCAAATCCCCGACCAGCAAGGCACCACTGAGGTACCCTGAGCAAGGTAACGCCCCCAAGCACTGCTCCCCGGGTGCTGAATTAGCTGCCCCCTGCTATGTCACGACGTCACATATGGGTTAAATGCAAAGGATACATTTCGTTTTTGTGTGCTGTGGTGTGTTAACAATGACCACTGATCACCAAATTCTAATTCTACTAGATAAGCTGTAGATGTACTAGTGTTGTAGTCAAGACCGCCTAAACCGAGACCAAGACATT